TTCGACATAAGCTTAAAAACTAAGAAGGTGGGCCAATTTTTCAAAGCTTCTTAGTTTCTTTGTTGTGATCGAATAGCTTCCAAATTTCGCCATAATGATATTTATATGCTCACAAGTAATAAACAATAGCTAGAAGAAAAACTTCTCCACCGAAAAATTTTCCGAAAGGGTCAATACAAACTCAGTTTCCTTCTTGCACAAGCAAGGTGGTTTGCAGACCCCGGTGCTGACTTCCTCTGCGAAAAAAGGATTACTATTAATGGGATGATCTGCTGCGCCGCGCGATGCCGTTTTTGTAATATACTAGCGCCGAGTTGTTTTTATTGACAAACACAAGCATCCAGACCAGACTAACCCTCTTGTGGAACCATTCAAAGAGATTTCTTGAGTATTAGAACACCTTGAATGTTGTTTCCTATGGCGTTGTCACAGCTATTATGCAGAGGTTAGTTATCTTATCAGTATCGTCGAAGAGCGACAGTCCCCATCCTTTCAGTCAAATGGTTAGGCAGTCGCCTGCACTCAAACACAGACTTTACACCCGGCACTTGGGTTCCCGGATTCATGCATAGTTTGCCGAGCTCCTCTACTCTATGCAATATCATATCTCCTTCAGTTTCATTGATCTGATTTTCGTCAGTACATACGAGTCTTGACTTCTTCTGTGAACGGAACAATTTCCGGTAGAAGTTTATATGTTTTGCCATTTGATTAATTGATTTGTCAATCCAAAACTGGAAAGCTGGTGCTTTAATTACGAAGCGCTTAGCCAAAGCTTTCCTTAACCCTTTCAGCCCTGAATTTTTTTGATTGAAAATTTTTTTGCTATTGTTCATTACTTGCGAGCACATATAACCTTAATTTGGAAGCTATCCAATGACAAAGTGAGAAACTAGGATACTTTGAAAATTGACACGGCTTTTCAGTTTTTTAGCTTATGTCGGAAATCTTCCAAATTTCTGGGCTATTATTCTGCAAAAGTCTTGATGATCTGACCACATTACATCTATTGTTTCTGATAAAAAATGAATGTTTGCTAGGATTTTAGATCACTGACACTTACCTAGCAGCTTGCTGAGGCAAGAGCCGATTTATTGCTGCACTTGTACACAAGTCTTTGTAATGTTAACAGCAACAAATAATATAATAAAATGGTGGGTTCAAAGCATAATTAGAAGAGGGGCGATCGCCTGACAGTACGCTCTACTCGGGGAGTAGTGGATTGCGTTGCAGCGCTCATATAGACATTTGACTTTTTAGCGCCGGCTGGCAATTGCCGCAAGCGCTCCGAAGAGTTGAAGAGAATTACACCATAAGGTGGGAGGTCGAAGAGGTAAATAATACCCTATTGAAATAAAGACAGAGTCCTTGAAGGCAGCGATCACGAAAATTCAAGAAGAGCTCAGGGTGACGTGGTGGTGCTCAATAGTACGTCACTGGCGAAAAGCCGGAAAATCCGTCAAGAAAACCCAAACGGGACCCATTTTGGACGTTGGTTTCCACTCATGAAGAGGTAACAGCTCAGAAAGTGGACGTATGAACGAATTTAGCGCAACGCATTTGATAGCACCATGCCAATCCACGCTTCAATCAAGGTACTCCGTTTGCGCCGCTGCTGGCTACACATCTCGTCCAAATCCACATGTAAGCTAATGAGCGGATCGCTTTTGTGGGCGGAGTGCTTTCGAAATCCTGCTCAGCAACCAGCGCATCTTTGGTTGTGAAAGCGCTACAGCTTGACTTTTTCTGGTGGCCACGTAATAACTTGCGTAGTGCATATGATTCCGCGATGCGCACGCTCTTTATCGTAATCGCTTCCTCTAAAGTGCGAGACGACGCATTTTTCGCAGCGGAGGCCATACCTTCAGCGGCCTGGCAGGGCCGTGTACGTGCCGCTCCCGCTGCTGCACTCTCATCGACGGGAAACCCCTCCCCGCCTGACTTAGCCGTGCAGGAGAGGTAGCTTCGATGAGCACAACACTGATGGAGCTGCCGGCGTCTCATTTTGCCGATCAGGGCGAGCGTCAGTAGTGATAGAACTGCATGAAAGCAGACCGATGGACACGTACTCAATGTGAAATCAGACCGCGGAGTCCCTTCTTGAGTTCCACGCCGCTTTTCTTAGTTTTTTTTCTTCATCGGTGCATCACTGCCACCTCTCTCGATACCTAGAGGGCTGCCTGTACATTGCGAAGGCCGCCAGTAAGGGATTAGGAATCGGTCTGGTTCCTAACCGCGCCTTAGAGGGGGGGCAACTTCGTTTGCTGCACACTCACATGTCGTTTGAAATCAGCAATAATACAGCAATTTATGTTAGCACCCTTGGGTCGGCACAAGGTCTAAGGTAGAGGTGCTAGCCACAGATCTTGCAAGCCCTTAGGTGGAAACTAAATTGATCATGAGAGCATCTTTAAGATAACCTTATACTTCAGCTAACATCACAGCCGCGCTGCTCACAGAACCGCTCTACTTTAGCACTTCTACCAATTCCCAGAAACGGGTTCGGAAAAATGATGACGTCATTTCGAACGGGCCGCATTGAGATCATCGGCAAACTCGTCATTGTGTGCGACTGTATGTACACCAATAGCACTATTAGTGAGCACTTCGGATTTTATTATTAATAAGCAGAGTTTCTGTAGCGCAGCCTGCGCCCTGCTCTCTCATTTTTCAAACGACGGCTACATCATTTACTCCCTTCGTCTCTCTATAAATCGGCTTAACACCTCAATATACACATAGCCGCAACGCTGAGTCATTCCGTTGATTTCGCATGCCATGCCACCTGCGTTGCGCTACTGATGACTATATTGTGTTCAGGTCAGTTCAACTGTTTGGGTGGAAATCACTGTGGTTCTTTGAAGGACCATTTTCTCCACGAGGGAAATTAATAGTAGATTAATTCTGGTCCTCAATTTATAGTCCACAGTATGCCCATAGTATGGGAACTGAGGGACAATGATCCAGCCGAATAAAGTGCCATCTCTACAATGAAGATCGAGAATCATATCTAGCAGGGTATTTCATATCTTGCTCCAGAGTTATGAGTCGTGCCACTTACTGCAACTATGGTGGTATATTTCTTCACTGTCAATTGCAGAGATGCTAACGGGGAATGTGATAGGTTCCATCAACAAATTTGAACGGGTGTTTGCATGCTTTTATCGAGTTCAACTGTTTGTTGAATGACATCGATAGAACTTATCGAGAATGTGACCGATAACAGGTGGCGACCTTCAGATCCATCATCACATCAATGCTTGTTTGAACGAGGTGGGACAATAAAAAGTATCGTCCCTATTGAACGCATGCCTTCCACTGAACCTTACACCACTCAAATCATACCTGACTTTCATTGAGGCAAAGATGGCCCTAACTCTGGCTGATCCTCCAGCTCATTGTACGGACTATGCACACTCCAGTTCATTATGCAATTATGAATGGGAGTGAAATGCCTGGTGCGCCTCAAGAAATTGATCGACGCCAAGTCGACATATCTTATTATTTTTACATTCTTTTTGTGATTTCATGACTTTGTTTTTACATTCATTTTCCCTCTACTAAGTTGAGTTTGAATTGAGTTCAAATTTTCGCAGCTTTTTTGGATGTTGTTTGAGGCAGTCTCAATATCCGGAGTCAAATGTAGACCGTACTGTAGAAGTGGTCTAAATGACACTTCGCTGAGATCAATCAACGAGTTGACGTTTTGCAGGCGAACTGTCTGTAGAAGTTCCTCGTTCGCATTAAAACGGATCAGTGGAGGACTTGACTCCCGCATAGCCTTCACAACAACCAGTCTGACATCTAGATGCATATTTGTGAAAATTAGTGCCGTTCAGATAGTTCCTAATTCCGGCATCAAAATAATCATCGTACTCACTTCGACTGTGAACACACTTCTCACCGGCTTTGTTCTCGAGTTCTGTCTAGAACTGAGGAAATTCGAAACTCATGCATATAATTCGTAAAGGAAGTCTTTGGTCATCTCAATGTGGGGCAACATAGCACTGATTGGTCAAATGTTCGAATAAGTTCACAAAAAAGTTCTATAATTTGTGCTTAGGTTCGAAGTTCCTGCGGACGTTCTCACAACCATTACTTTCCCTCAAGAATTTTCTGACGTGAAGTACAGTTTGTTGAGAATTTCCCTCTCGACATCTGTTGACGTCTTACAAAGCATTTTCCAGATTCCTGGAAATTCAAGGCGTGCCTGCCCAGTATTTCTACTGACGATTTTTTCTATTTTCTCGTTCTACTTCACAAGCCTAGCAGTAACAGGAGGTTTTGTCTCTTTGATCATGTGGTTCTTGTATTTCATTTGTACATCATGGGGTAACCCTCAGGTTCGATACCCTAAACTGATTCGTAAGCATCTCGCGAATCAGGTACCAGCACACCGGATGCTCACTCATCCTTCTTACCGCGCTATGCTGTTTTCATGGGATTTCTTATTCAATGAAGAAAATCCGTGGCTGTCTCCGATAGGAAGCTCCCTTTTGGGAAAGCAGTTTTATTGTGATATGTGAATGACTCCGGATATCGAGACTGCCTCACGAACAAAGAGAAAAGAAAATATGAACTGAATTCGAAGCGGGGGTGGATCGAGACTGGAATGTATGTCGGGTGATCTAATGGTGTCATAGCGAAAGCCTTCAAATTGTTCGGTTCCTCAATAAGTCCACGTGCATAACGCACGTAAGGGTTATAAATCGTGACTGAGAACCCACTTGACTTCGCAAGTCAAACCATTTGCGTAGCTCCAGAAAAAAAACGGAACTCTTGAGTTCTAACGACTCGCCCGGCCTCCGATTGCCAAGTCACGGCCTGAAATTGCCGTGCGAAAGGTTGTCTATGGCACGTCTAATACGCCTGCGAAAGCAAGATATTTTCCCGACATGTCTGATCACATAGGGAAAATTCTGTTCGCAAAACGTGACCGTCACTCTCTCGCAAATCACCCAATCACTCTATTCATCATCAACTGTTCATTGTCCGAATAAATGCTGGCAAAATCGTCGTCCTCAGCAGTGCTTCTCAATCGCTTGCACGAAGAAGAGCACGGCAAGGCAACCACGCTTCGTCGCACTGTCAGCCTCAAACCGCCGAAGATCGCTCGCGAGTCCAAAACTTTGGATGTCGTTCTATCACACATCAAACGACAATTGCTATCAAAGCCGGAGGACTTCAATGAATCCCCGCTCGGTGCCGTAGCTGAAAGCCAAGAAGCAGGGTCAAAACAACGAGTGCAGGTTGGCGATGGTGTGAAAGCACTGCTGGCCTCAAGACGGGTGCTGAGCAATGCCAAAACATCCGAGTCGCACATCAAGAAATTAAAGCGCAGTTTGAGTGCTCGTCTGCTTGGCAACCACAAGTCGAGCCAACGTCTCGAACGTCAGTGTCGTTCGTTTGCTATCAAGAATCGCAGCGACCAATCACCAATCAACACATCACCTCTGTAAGTGTTGTGGGCATATTTTCGTGCATGTTTTTATAGTATTGATTGGGTACTGCAGTTCTTATCAGTACCAAAAATAGCAGATGGTTGGCCCGATACTGAAGCCTCAGACGGTCATGACCGGCCTATCAGATCGCAAACATTTCTATGATTCAGCCACCACTTGACAAGAGAAGTATGGTAGGTCCAGAGGGCCTTTTGAAATGAAATGTGTACCATCTGTCTCGTCTCTGAACACTGATCTTAAATAATCGCAGATAAGAAACAGAGATTTGAGATTAGACTCGAAGAGGTTTCAGGTGATACACATAACATCTCGAATGGCTACTTCAACATAGTGCGTTTCTCCTAAAAGCAAGCACCCCCTCGGCACCCATCTCATCCATACGATTTCTTATGCCCTATATTCCGGACGGTTACCAAAGTCTCCAGCCAACAACTTGCATCTTTGGGCGACCATGAGCCAAAACTCCGTTCACTATGATCCAAGTGATTTTCTTCCTTTTGTCGGATTACTGTGGCCACTTTCGTATTGCAGATGGGGCTGTGAGGAGTAGCAAACAATTTCTATCTTACCGGAATTTTCCATTATGGCTAATAGTCAGATCATGCCGCATTCAAGTGCAACTTTGACTACGAATAGAAGTGGAATGCATGGCGCATCTCAAAAAGGGTATACCTAATGCCGATATGTATATTATATGTATATATGAGCTTTCTTTCCTTGCTTCCCGTATTCACACCAATCACACCATTCACACCTATCCAAATAGTAACTGCATCTTGTAAGCGAATCTTTCGAACCATACTAATGCACACTAGACGTCACCTTATCAGAAATGATATTTTCACACGAGAACGATGCCAGATTAAAAATAACACAGAAATCTGTCATTCTACATGTTTTTCTGTGAACTTTAAACTTCTCTGATCTACAAGGGTGGCCAAAAAAAGAGACACTTTGCCCATGGCGCATATCATCGGACTTTTCGGCGCCACAGTGAGCCGAGTTAAGGAAAGTTTGTACGACGGAATATCCAATTAGGTCGATCAACGTAAACGGAAGTGATCACTCCTTCACGCGCCCGCCCCCTTACCCGAATATAATCATTCTGTCGCCACCAAGTCGAGCCAGAGGCTTAACATTCGCTCTCCTGCCTGCGAGCTGCTACATAATTTCTTCGACGAATTGACTGTTGAATAGCTTCCCAAAGACATTAGCTCTGACTATGCAGAACCGCTTTTGACTAGCGTTTCAAGGACGTCGTAATGGTCTATGGTACCTCGGCGACCTTGTTGAGCTCGCACCGCGAACCATTGTTTCCATGGGAAAATCTTCCGATGGGCGTGTAACGGCTTCTGTAACTCATGTAGATAGAATGTGTTCTTCAATAATAAGTTGGTGGCACTCGATTTGATCCCAGCAAAGTCTGATTAATGCTGTCTGAAATGTGGAGTGAAGTGTCTCTTTTTTGGCCACCCCTGTATTGACCGGATTAATCGATATCATTGCCTGTGCCAATAACAGCAACTTACGTATTCGAGATGAACGATATCCTCTACGTTTTTTTACTTCCCGAGCTACAATTCACTGAATAGTATTCGGCTGTAGAACGCACATGTATCAATTGCGAAAGTTACCCTTCACTCGACTAGCAAACCAGCCCTTTTGCGCACACTCGACGGACCGTATGCTGCAATGTTGGGAGGGATTGGGCTCTCCACATCTCGACGGTTACTGCAACTCCGTGTGCGTACGATAAGGGATACGACCTCAGTCTGGCCCTGCAAGCTCGTCCACGTAGCTTTCCCATGCGAGAGTACCCGCGCTCACTTTTGTAAAGCCTCGGTATAAGCATGACCCGTCCTCTACTTTAAGGCTTAGTTCTAGTAACCTCCAAGACTCGGCGGTATCTTTCATAAGGCCGTTGAAGTATCCTTCCCCCGGGACACCATCCCTCTCCCCCAACATTCATCATACAAGTCCCAGCCATAGGCAAAAGGTGTTCTTTACGTCTTCCACTCTACGTAACTGTGTCATTTCCTGCTATATTTTAAATGTCCTTAGATATGGAAAACAGTTGGAAGATAAAGGCGGTAGAAAATCTGTAATATATGAGAAACAATTTGAGAATAATGTCCGAAAAAGGCTCAAAACTTTTTTTTTTCGATTTTAAATCTGTCGATGAACTCGAAATGGACCAAAGTGGAATAATAACGAAAAGAATATTACTGATTAGTTTCATGTTTGGCTTTGTTTTTTAATTTGCTTTGCCAAAAGCAAGCGCTACTATATTATTTATGTTCCGACCCAATATATGAATTCAGGAAGAACCACATTTATTAGCCAACCTGTTGCAAAATAGTAAGTCAGCCCATATTTTCTCATCATATTCTCATCATAGTAATTAAAAGAGGCATTTTCCTGCTTCCATAATTGAATCCCACCTAGCGCTACCCTATGCTGGCAATAGAATAACATCTTTTGGAAAAATTCTGAAATGCCGTTACAATTACATTCCGCTGGGTGTTAGCTCTCCACAAATTCGTGGATCGCTTTCGTACGCGGTCCAACCGTCGAATTGTTTCGACTCATACACAGTTTCTTGTGTATCCGAGTGGGCAATGTCAAGTTGCAGAAGGACCATTTCTGGCGCATACTTCACTGCTTTTTATATCATACACGACTCGGCATTTTAGAACTCCATGACGGGGATAACTTGAAAAATTTTTTTTTTTTGTCATGGTCTTCATCTACAATGCAATGCGTCCCTGCTGCATGTTCTGGGTGTATTTTTCATCACTTTCAACTGTGTATCATCAAAAACAGGAATATGAATGAGGTGCGCATGAAGCGTCCAAGACGTTTACGTGGTATTCGCCGAGCCAGGTCTGATGAAGAAGAAGAATCAGTCGACACCGGACTTCGAAAGTGCGACCGTTCTTGGAATTTCTGCCAATAATATCAGCGCTATCAAGAAGCGTGTGGAGCATTCAAAACAAATCCTTATTGCAAAGATGATACTCGTCGAAGACCAATTTGCGCAGCTTGCTTACATGGGCGGAATTCATTCAAGGACCATGAATGGGAGATAGAAGAAGTGGAGATATGAATACTGCAAAAGGACGGCAGCCTCCAAGGAAATGAGTAGAAACTGCATCAGCGAAGAAAGCGCCCATCGCCGCGTAGCTAATGGTAATTAGGAAAGAAATAATGGGAAAAGCCGAACCCTGGCCAACGCAGCCTGCCCTGGTAAGGCCAGCCAGCTTCGCCGTCATTTGCCCTTTATTTCGAAAGGGCATTTCCTGTTAAGCTGCCGTACCCTTTAGTTAAATTAGTTTTTCTAGGTTATGCGTTAGCAATAAAAGGAAGACATTTTTGGCATATCCGCGGAATTAACACCTGCAAACGCGGGAATCAACGGAAAAGGGGGCCCATTCTTTGGTCTGAAGTCGTTTTCCGTCAAACTTTTCTTGATAATGTCCCTCCATCACCTGCCCACCACCTCCACTTTCAGCTCCAGTAGGCAACGATTTTTCGTACCATCCACCTTTTAACCATTTAACGCCAAAGCGAGCAGTTGCGCATCGATCGGACATTTAACCTTGCCTGAATTATGAGGAAAAGAAACCATAACTATCACCTGACTATCCAAATTGTGCCGGAACTGCTCATGACTATGATTTGTGCGTGAATAAGGAAGCATCTAACGGCATACAGTAAGCAAAATTATTTTTCAACCGAATCTCTGCAGGCCTTTTTTAGTTACCTGTCTATCACTGATAAAGCTTCTGATCACCATCGCAACCCTGGCGACCCCAATCAGTCACAAGATTGCGACCACTAGGAGACAGTTTTCAAGGGGCACTGTTCGCAATGATAATAGGATTATGGGACTTTCACAAGGCGATAAATATCATATGAAGTTAGTCCACCCTGTGACACACTGCAAACTTAGACCTATTTCTTTCAGAACCATCTCGTCAGATCATCTTTTTCATGATCGACTCGACAGCCCTGACTATCCACCTGAAAGTCCGCTGGGTAGTGTCTCGAGTCATTCATCCAACGAGAAGAAAAAGTGAGTTTCTCATTTTTTTCATGTTTTCGAACTTAGAAATATTTATCTGGTCTCCCTGCTACAAATTTAACGTAAAACAAGGTGAGGTAGGAAAGCGAAAATGTAAAGCTGGTGAGGAGTTCATTCTAACAGTGCAAGCGCACACTGCCGCTGCAGCGGCTGTGTATTGATGCACACTGTCTAGCAAAACCGTGCGCGCAGACACGTCTTCACACATATAATCCTTTGACGCTCGTGTTGTCCGCGTGTGAGCCGCACTTTCACTTACGCACTCTTTCTCAGGGATCGTTACGCTTTTATGTTCAACTGCTCGTAACATTTATTCGGTATCAGTCAAAAACAATGTTCATTTTAATTACAGAAAGTCTTATTAAAACTTATATATTATATGGAGATAATACCGAAAAAACCTTTGAAATGTAAACTACTGCTTGCAAAGCCTCATTCAAAGGGTTAAAACGACATAAGCTTTGGTCAGCGGAAGTTTCCGCCCCATGAATAGAAGTGTTGGTGCCCCACGCATAGTGAATGTCAGCTTCGCGCTTCTGACGCGTCTAAACAAGGGGGCCTTTCAAGGCAACTCCACTTGTGCAAAACGATTGTTCTGGGCTATGTTATAGATGCAGTGTAGAGGACTCATAAACCATGCTGTCACTTTCAGTTGGGCTGAACGATCAGCGTAGTACAAAGAAAGAGAGCGATAAGGGTATAGTGACGGTTGCAATCCCCGTGACGCGATTTAAATTTTGCATCCGGGTTGCGCTACGGTGTTGGCAAGGCACTAGAATTGCAGATGTCATTTTTGTTAATAATATAATAATAATATAACAATAATATAATAATGGTAATAACAATAATAATTTTCATCGTCAGGACCATTTTGAAGCCAACAAGTGGCCGCCAACCTTGATTGCAAAATTTAGTCGCCGCGGGGGATCGAACCATCAAGAGTATTATTCACCACTTTTTTGGTACTACTAAAACCGTTCAGCGAAAACGAAACATGGTTTTGTGGTCCATACATGCGTCCCTACAACATGCACTAAACCGTTTCCAAAAAGCGCACTTGCCCTGAAAGACCTCCCTTGTCAGAAATTCTGCAGAAAAAGCCGCGTAAAAGAGGGCGGTGTTGCGGAGGAGTGGGTGGTTACGAGGGTCGTATGGGGGACCCTCCAAGGCTGCTGGTGGTGGTGGTGGGTCGTATCGGGAGTCTTTAAGGGGAGCTGAGAAAACTTTCGGAATCAGCATGACGGACGTTTGACTCTGCCTATGTATTGCAAACAGCCGTTGAGGTGAGGGGGGGGGGGTAAACCTGTATAGAGAAACGGAAAATTCCAGTTTTCTCAATTTCACCTTCTTTCTTGATGTTCCACCAAATCGCTCTCGTCAAGTCGAATCTCAACACCATCTCCTTTGGAAACTTCAAATGCGTCCCCTTATTACCATAACCAAAATACATATAAACAAATGTACGACCTCCTCTTCCGAAATCCCGAATACGACCCCTGGGCAAAACAGATCGTTGACTCTGGTCCGATGCTCCACGTACTCATACGGAACGTGATTGAAGAATTGACTGGGTGGTTATTATAACGAGTAGAGGAAGTTTATGATATCGAAGTGACACGTTAGTAATGAACTCGTTCAATACGATGGGAGATTGAAGATCCAAGAAGCTTCCAGTGAACAGAACTCACTAAGAAGGACCGTGTGTGAACAAAACCACTCCAAAAGACGAATGTATAATATTTATTCCGTAGCTTCCTCATGTCTAGCGTTGTATGAGCCCGATCATGTCTTCCCTTGTCGCCGTACCCTACATACACTTCATTTTCTCATATGCAGTAAGTCGTGAATGCAGACTTATGCATTAAAACAGCAGATTGTGTTGAAGCGACACCCGTGGCATCGCATAATTAATGTATAAAAGCATGTGCGTTAGGATTCTTAACCTCCGTCTTCACATTTATTAGTGATTTCAAGGATAGCAATAGCAGAGCGCGGCCATGAGAAGAAAATGAATATCAATTCTGCTCCTGCTTCGCATCGCTAAGCCAGCATTTACGGCTTACTTGGATATGAACTTTTGCGTACATAAAATTGTGCCATTTCAGTGATACTGCAACAACACCATCCAGAGCACTGGCGAAAAAGAAAAAGTATTTCTCGGAAAGGACCAACAAAAACATCATCAAGAAATTGATCCATCCATCCTATCAGGAACGTGCTGGGCAATATCGCCGTCTGTTCGGCTCAAAAATTGGACCTGAACCAGACGAATTTCTCGCATGTGAGTTCACTAAACCGACTGAACTGTGGTAGAGCTGCATTGCTTCTATCGGAAAATGCATGCAATTTGAGAACACGGCACCCGTTATCTGTCCACCACGCTCTTTCGTCCTACTATCCAGCTCACAACACGAGGTCACGTTACTTGTGTAGAGTACACCTCAAATCTATTCTTGGCGTTAAAGCAACAAGTTCATATGGATTGGGTAGCAGCAGTTGATAACGATGGCGTGGAAAGGATGTCTCTAGACGCGTATTTTGATCGCCACCACACCCCTGCGATGAGGAATGCTTGAGGGCGAGCGCGAGATTTCTCGTCCATAGCTTAAGATTTGTCGCATTCACTTCGTAAAGTCTCAGCGTCATTGTCGTGCACTTTCAAGACGCAACAACAGCACATCTGTGACACCGTGGGTTACTCTGTTCCATCCACTCAACAGCTTCGACACTTCTGCTTGAGCTGTTGCACTAATAGGCTATTCTTTGTATGTTCTGTCTATATTTAGTAGAAATAATATGGAGCGTCGCACTGTGACTTTTCAAATTCCGAAAAATATTAGTTTCCAGCAGAAGAGGCTTTGAGTGGCCTACATGTAGTGGTTGCAACATGAATGTTAGTGCATTCTCTTAAAATCTGTCACCATCAGTCTTCAATCAACAGGGTTACCTATGCCCGAGGTGGCCGCTCTTTTGATGTCTGACCCTTTTCAAAATGAAATTTTCGACCTTTCAGCGTTTTCCTGTGCCTACCAACGTGAAATATTATGCCAGGGAAGAATGTACATTTCACAGCGGCACATCTGTTTCTATGCGAATATTTTCGGATGGGAGACGAATATGGTGTTACCTGTGGCCGAGGTGGCCGCTGTCACCAAAGAAAAAGCAGCCCTGATCTTTCCTAACTCTCTTCAGGTTAGTGACCAACTATTATAGAACTTTTTCATACATAAGGTCAGCTCGACTCAAATCACCAAAACTGGTACAACGGTTTGAAACTAATATAATAAAATAGTATAAGCCTCACTGCTGAACTTAACGATCTACAGCCCCATGCAACTTTTTGAACGAGGAACCTAAAAGGCGAACTTATGGAAAGAGTGCGTGTAAATCATCAAATAGCTAAGAATTATTCACATTTCAGCCTTCACTCGATAGATAACGCCTTTTTTCAAAAAATATGTTGTAAGACTTCCAAAAAAGTTTTTATAATGTCTAGGATTGGCTTGAAATAAACATAAAAAATGCGCTAAACTTGCGACAATATAGATGACGATAAATTTAAACACTGAAGTGTGAAAATAACTTTTGCAACAATTATATTCCAGCGAAACGTAAGTAGAAGGCACGTAGGCAACAACCACCTCAAAACGGTGGGTGCTCGATTTTTGCCAGTTTTTTTTCCCAAATCTATGCAGGTTTAAAAAGTACGAAAGGTCACATAAATACAAAATATTATAAACCAAACCTGAAGTGAGTTTGTACATGTCCTTTCGTTGTTGATTTACCAGCGTGTTGGTCCGTTTGCTTGTCACTCAGACCCGATAGAACGCGAAGCATGTATAACCTGAAATTTGCAAGTTGCAATTTCTGTAATTTGCACAAAATGGCGTTGTTGTTGTGCCAAATTCAAATTTTGACTCAAGAGGACGGAATCTGGAAGCTGGGAAAATTCCAGCCAGAAACAAGAAAGTTGCGATTTCTCAAAATTATGGTCGGAATAGGGTGGATTTACGTAGAAGTACGAAACCGGGCAATGAACAACATCAAATGAAACGCAGTCGTAGAAGTGTTAGCTTCTCAAGGACCAACTGCTTACAATCAAATCAATTTTGGATATGAACCCGGGCACAATATTGGGCCGCGCAGAATACCCAAGTTCGACTACTCTTAGGGTGATTCGTAGAGCAAGATTTCTTGCACAAGTAAAAAAAATACGGTTCAAACAAACACTGGCGAGCTTCCGAGCGGTGCTGTTCTTTAGGGGACACTGACGTGAATCATTTGTATCTTCGTTCTTTATACTGACCAATTTCAGATCGAAATGACAGATGAGACAAAGCATTTTTTCGCCTCGTTCGTCAATCGTGAAAAGTCTCTCACAGTTTTGCTCAAAGTACTAGAGAAAATCCAACTAGGAGAGGTATGATATTGATTTTTTGAATTTTTCACTTCTACAATTGTTTTTGGACCTCTTTTCACTGAAACTATATTCCTAATCATACTACTGGTATTCCCTAGCTGGGACTCTAACAGAAGACTTTTAGTGTTCTAAAGGCAATAAATAAAAAATTGAGTACAGTTGCAATTTCAGCTGATGTCACCTGAAGAACTCTGGGAATACATGAAGGGTGACGAGGAAGAGAAGGTAAGGATTACTTGTTCCCCTTTCCTCCCTAAAACTCCAAGCCTACTTTATCTCTCCACCTCAAGGCCCCGCTCCGCAAATATACCAAGAATAGCGACAATTCGATCTCACCCGTAAAACTCCCCTCTCGCAAACCTGAGCTCGTCGTCAGAAGCAGCTCTATCTCGGCTCTATGCATGGGCACTAGTGCCAAAAAATCACTTATAAATCTCAAACACGCTTTCTGGGACTCTCATCTAATCATCACATCAGGTAGCATTAGTCTGTCCACTTCCACTCCGCTCCGCGTCCCCCGGGGAAAAAAAACTTTTAAGACTCGGCTCTACAATGTTCCCCTGCGCACCCGGTCCTCAAAAGAATAACGTTAGCGGAACAGCAGATCCCCGCCCGGCGCGTATAGATACTCCTCCTCACTAATGAATACTTCGTACTCGGATCACCAATCAACTGGTCAAAATTGACATCTCATTACAATTTATCGCTTAAAACTATACACTCGAACCCCTTCACACAGACACATGTTCGCCATACCTTCCTTACGAAGACAGATCCAGCACGACAGTTATCCCCACGTAAACAATTATTTCACTCATTGTTTGTAACGTTCCCGACATCCGATATTACTTATAATTTCACAAATATTTAATAGAACCAAATGCATTATTGTGATTTTAATCTTCCTGAAAATCACAATACAAACAGTATAAAAATCGACTGTTTACTCGAAAACCACCGCCTACTAAAAACAACTGAACTTTTGCACTGCTCAAGCATCACTAGATCGCGTCCAAGTTTTAGTTCAACATCAATACTCGAATCTCAGCAACCTTCAGAACCATTTCTACACAGGCGCACTATGGCTCTTCCAAGCTGGCATTACCATTCCTTACCTTTCATGTCTTCCCCTCCTCTATTAAGCCACCTTAAATGGCTGCCCTGCATATTTCATAAGACCCTCAAATAAATTCGTTCCCGTCCCAATCGGAACATCACTGTGACGTCAGTGAGTAGTCCAATCCGCCATCCTCCGTGAACGTAACCTCATTCTACACATTATTCAAATCTCTAAGTCAGAAAATGAGAGAAGAAGGTAGAAAATTCTGTCAATAAGGCGTTTCACAATGACTTTCGCTTCGACATGGTGAAGCCCTTAACATTCCTTCAAGCTTTTTTTTCTAATAAGGACTAATCTTTACAAACTCATTGGTAAAATCTTGCATGGGTACATTTCCATTGGAAAACCTATTCAGTAAGAAACATTCCATAATGAGACAATTTCATTTGAAGTCTGATTCGCGTTCTAAAACTTCGTAAAATGGTGTCACGTTGAAAGTCTATCGAACACGATTCACACCACGCTTCACAACCTATGGAGGTGCAGTTCACAACCTATGGTTATTGGTTATTGGGAATCGCAGTTTTCGTATGATTCTTTTTCGTGGGATAGTGGAGATGAATTCCAATTTCAGTAACCGGCGCTAACACACTTCGGTTTATGTTTGCTGCGGAAACTTTGTGAAACTACAACAGCTTTCCCTTTTTTATCTTCACGACTGCTTATAATGCTTGATCTTTCTTCCTTTTCCATGTCCGATCATATATCTTTGATGTGCTCAAACATAGTCACAAGATCGATGCTCTCTTTCGAATTATTTTCTTTGCAGTAGCTGCAGCAAGCCCTTTTTTGGGTGACGTTGCGATCTTCAGTGCGGAGCATGTTTGCGTACTGAAGCCGTTAATCTGAAAACTGCAACCAAATCGTGCACGATTCTAGCAAGTCACACTGCGATACCCGCATCACAGGTCCCAATATCACAGGTGGAGGACTACCAATGCCCGTGAAAAGAAGAGCATTCAATTTCCTTAGCCTGAATGCTGCCAATCTAAGTGACAATGAATTATTGCCACCATTTGCTTCTGCTACACACACTTTTATCGAATCCGATTATATAAGAGTTCAGCTTTAGCGTTTGCTTCTCTCAACGGAATAATCAGATGATTTCCTCCTCATGATTTCCTCCACTGGCATCCACTCGACCGATTGTGAATGGAAATTGAACTCGGAGACGAGGCAACTGCCGAATTCCCACGCCCTCAATTTCCAAATTTTAGGTGACAGGAAAAAAGTCTGCCTTATGAGCATGTTTTTCACAGCAAGTTTAATCATACCTGTCTGATGACGTTTGCTATGCTTTTACTCTCCTCTCCCGACCTACCTACCCCCCCCCCTCAATATAATCAAAATGCTTCTTTTGCTGGCTTTGTTGTTAATAGGATAATTAAAGTTCCAGTGAATGATGGAGATGTACCTATCACTGAGCGATATAACACCCTCTTAGGACAGCTCATTCAAAAGGCTTTGTTCGTCTCCAGACCTGCCCTTGTCTCAACGTTGGTTTCCCAGCAGTTTATAATTGGTCAAAATGGGCACTCTTGACAACATTTAAAGGCAAGATTCGGGATTGAATTGATGATTATTCCACTCAAATGTGAAAGTAGGGATGGAGGTGGACCGCCAGTGGAGAAAAAGAAAGAAAATCCTGAAATACACAGGAAATACGAGCATTTTGCTCTATGCTGCGGAGAAGTTCAAAAGGCCGGCAGGGAGATGAGAGATAATGTGAGCGCGGAGAGCGGTAGAGAAGTCCGAGAAGAGAGAGCATAGCAGATCAACGGCGACGCAGACAAGATATCGACGGTGGGCGGACCATGTTAGTTTGGTGGAGTCTGTTAGAAGTCCATGGCGCCTAGGGTCCTAGTGACGCGTTTCGATGTAGAAAGGTGGCGCTACCTTTGCACTTGCGTACCCAGCACTTCTAGCCATGGTAAGGGCTTCTTAAGTGGGTCTGAGCCCGAACTTTGCCTTTAATTCATAAGTGTCGGGGATCCTTCGAGAACAAATTGCAACCAGTAGCGTGTTTTTGGTGTAAACACAAACCTCCGCACCTCTACCCTCGTTCCCCAAATTAGGCCATTAAACATTACACTAGCACACTCCTAGAATCCTTATCGTTAGTTCTCGTCGATCGTTGTGGAGTTGTGGGAAATGGCGCGGCTGAAACGTGCATTTGTTGAGCTGTTGCGTAGGGCTAATACGCATTCAAGTGCCTTCACTCTTCCGAAGGATCGAACAAGCGGCAAGCGCTTTTTTGCACTTCAACGTCCACCACCATGTCCAAATGTTCTGTAAATGAGATTCCATGAAACCTTCTCTTCCCCCCTTCCGTCCCCACTCATATAACTTCGTATTATTTATTTATTTTATTTATTATTTATTTATTTATTTATTTATTATTTATTTATTTATTTATTTATTTATTTATTTATTTATTTATTTATTTATTTATTTATTTATTTATTTATTTATTTATTTATTTATTATTTATTTATTTTATTTATTACTATTGTTACAGATATAAAAAAACAAAAATACAATTCTGGGCAAAAACAATTCACAATAGGTTAAAATAAATGCAGAAAATTAATAAAGTGAAACATTAGTCCACCACTTGACCGT